ATTTGAAGTTGCCACAAATATACGTTCAATATTTAATTCTATAATCTGTTAAATGTATCGTAACAACTTCAACCCAAACTATGGAAATATTCAGAAACCAATATAGATAATCGTTATTTATGCCATCTAAAATATAACTAACAAGATACATATTCCTAAAATCACTGACTGTTGCAATTTTTTAAAAAATTCTTCGTATATACGCAAATAATTTTGGGACGTCATATCTTTAATTTACTAACATACTCCTATATAAACCTTTGCTGCAAACCGTTTTATACATCTTTAATCGGAAACTCATAGAAAATGGCTGAATACCAAATGGTGCATGAGTTACAAGCTTGGGAGGATGGTTGGACAATTAAGGTGAAGATTTTAAAGAGATGGGGGGCCTTTGATGCTGACGGTCTTCGTGTGATGAATTTCATTTTGGTTGATGAGAATGTAATTTTGATACTCATCTCTATCAATGTTTTATATTATTAGTACTTCATATCGTTTTGCTACTAATGTTTTATATCAATTACCCTAACAGGGTTGCAGAATTTCTGCCTACGTTGGTAATCTCAATCTATCATATTTCGAATACGTTTTGCAAGAAGGAAATTGGGTGCAGTTATCCAAATTCAAACTAATTCCTTCTAAGTGGGAAGAACGGACTACAAGACACGTTAAGCAAATAATTTTAGATGGTGAAACTAAGGTCAGTTCCATCCGACCTTTGACTGGAGATCCTTTCCTTCGTTTTATTGATTTCAGCCGTGTTTACAATAAGCCTTACAGCCACTTCTACCCAGTTGGTAAGTATTAACATTTATTTTTATTAATTATGTATTTAACTATGTTAGTGTTATCGATTATAGTATTGTATGATTGATTGTGTAATATTGATCAGTTGTTGTACTACAATATTTTTTAATCCAGATTTGATTGGTGTTCTGGATCATGTTGAAAATATGGTAACTGTTGTTTATCCCGATGACAAAAATGTTCCAACACTGAGATTCCGAATTAAAGATCTGGAGTAAGTAATATAATGGTTTCATGTTTTTATATCATTATTTGAGATACAATATAATCATAATAATTATAATGTGTAGAATTGTACTCTTAACTGTGTTGCACATGATGACTTGGCTTACGAGATAGAAGGGAAATGCAAAGGTCCTGTAGGGAAGAGTCCATTTGCTATTTGTGTCTTAACTGATTAGTTGGTTAAGAAAAACATTGGTGCGTTTATATGATTTTCATATTTATAAGACAATTTTATACACAGTCAAAACTTGATGACCTTATCTTATTTATATATTAGATGATATGACAATTGAAAATTACAAGGAGGGATCGCTTTCACGTTTTGCTATTGCCCCGCCATTGGATGAAGTCAAAAGCTTTGGGATCAAGTAATAAACGTTATTAACATTAAATAGTTTTAGATTATGATTTTTCTTTTACTGACTAACTACATGAAAAATATTCTTCTCAGGCTTGCAAAGAAGATAACGGAAGTCTACGTGAGTGCTTCAAGTTCTCAAGGAAGAAAGGATTAGGACTTATGTTATGCTATCTTATATTTTATATTCTATTTTAAATTTTGTTATGAGTGGTCTTCTCCTAAGTTTGTTTTAATAAACAATTTGTTTCTCTTCCTACCATATTTAATCTGATTTCAATAAAGTGTATTATTAGTTTATTAATTTCAGCATTATTTGTTAGTCATATATTTTGCCTTTTTATTCGCTAATGAGTAGTAGGAATTTTAAATAGACATGTATTAACAATCCTTAACATGCAACCAACTCAAACAAGTTTTTCTATTATATTACACAGTTTATATATATCGTTGTACTTCTATATAAATAGTACTATCGTATCATCAATAGATAAAAATCACTTAGCTATAATCAAAATTAATATATATATGAATTTATTAATAGATATTTAGTTTCTAAATTTTAAACGATAAATATAGTTTCCTGATCTTAGAAAATATCCATGCGAGATATTCGGTTTCTATTAGACATATTAATCTTACTGTATTACTATAAACCTAAAGCCTCTTATATATATTAGATTTTGCAGTTGTATAAAACCTAGATACCACATCATACCCTTTAACCATGGAACTCTATCACCGAGTTTCTGATTTGCATTCATGGAGATCGGACTGGAAAATCAAAATATTGGTTTTAAAAAAAATGGAAAACTCTTGGTCCACAAGGATTTGAAGGTTTGGAATTTATTCTGGTGGATGAAGAAGTAAGTTATTATTATTTACTTCGTTGTAGTATTATTTTTCAGAAACATCTTAATATATTGATACTGAAATTATCATAGGGATGCAAGATTCAAGCTTCGATGACTAATCCTATGTTGGTTTCGTATTATGATCAAGTTTTGCAAGAAGGACAGTGGAATACTCTACATGATTTTGTTGTAAATGATTCATTTTGGTTTCAGAAAACAACTCATCATAAATGGAGGATTTTTCTACTTCAGAATACTACTGTCAAAAAGGCTATATGAAATCCCCACCGATACTCAATTTATGTCTTTCTCAGAGTTTGAGGATATTTTGGATGGGACTATTGATCATAAGTATCCTATTGGTATTTCATATTTGTCTTATATAATCATCATTGAATTTCAAGTTAAATTATTTTAAACATCTTTTGATGCTTTATGTGATACTAGATCTACTTGGTGCTGTTGTCCACGTTGGACGACTTACAAGGATTAAGGATTACGGACTAGATTGTGATTTTCGTAGATACTATAGTTAACTACGATTTACGTTGAGAAATATCAAGTAAGTATTTGAATCGTTACCCATTTAGTTGTATGTTATTAAGATAACAATATATTTTGTTAATAAATTGTAGGAATGTTGAAATTAGTTGTGTTGCTTATGGTAACTTGGCTGATGATTTCCAATCACAATGGTGGTCTGCCTGTGGTTTTAATATAACATGTGTATTGACAGACTGGCGTATAACTTACAACAATGGTTTGTTTCTAACTAATTTATTAACATTTAATCATGATAACAGTAGTTATTATGATTTAATCAAATATTAAGTATACCTAAAATATATGCTTTATGGACATTGAATGTTTCTGATGCAAGAGGAATGTCAAGGTTTTTTTTTGATCCCCATATTGTTGAAGTTGACAAGTTCAAAGATAAGTAAGTACTATATAAATATTTGATATTTTACTAAATGCCAGTAATAACATATCTGTATATAACTATTTAGGTACTTCAAATCCAATAAGACGGAGAACAATGACATTGAGGTTAAAGACTAAGGATATAGTACTTAATTATGGTTGGAGGTTCAACTATTCATGTCGTTTAGCTACAAAGGTGACCAAGTGAAGTAGTCAACGTTTGAATTCTATGAAATTATGTCAAATTCAGGATTTATTAATAAGATAGATTGCTTTCATTATTCTCTATAGCTGTTTGCTCATTACGATAGATATATGTATATATATATTCGTCTAATACTATATATGTTTATATTATGTAGACAACATTGAAAATTTAAATAATATTATCCTGAATTATAAATAACCAAAACCATACCAAGTTAATATACATTCAGGTAATGCAACAGATATATAAAATTATTTTTATAACCTAACTATCAACATACACACAAATAAAATTTTTAATTGTATATGCTCTTCAAACTTGAAATCTTTTAAAAAAAAAAAACTTCCCGTGCACAGATCTAAATCTAATCTTTCTAGAAAGTAGAAACAAATGTTCTTCAAGTTTGAATGAAATGTAAGCTTTTTGAACCAAAACAAAACCCTACAATTAAATATCTAATAAGTCGTTTTGATCATGTACATTTTTGCTGCCAATACTCATCTACTTGAGAAATTTGAAGATAAACATATTTGCAACTATATCATATTTTCACATTACATTTTTTGTTAAAGCAAAAATCTAATGAGTAACAACATATATATCACCGTATTAATGAGAATAAATAATTTACTGGGGCTAATATTAAACCTAAGTGGA